CAGGTCGAGGCTGCGGTGGCCGGGAGCGGCCACTGCACTCCAGTCTGGGTGACAGAGTGAGACTCCAACTCAAAAACAAAAAAAGAAAAAGAAAGGTCAGCATCGCCCCTCCCCCTGTCCCTGCCCCCCCACCACACACACACCTCTGCAGCTCTGGTAGTTTGGCCCCATTGCTGGGGATCTGGGTAGTCTTTCTGGAGCCTGGACCACCACAGCTTTGTTACCCTGAGCATGTGAGCTGTCCACCACACCTCAGGACTTACAGCCATGATAATATCGGCCACCACTTATTAGCCACCGATATGACTGCTTTTGTTAGAGTCGGAGTCTCACTCTGTTGCCCAGGCTGGAGTGCAGTGGTACGCTCACAGCCACCGCAGCCTCGACCTGCTGAACCCAGGCGATCCTTCCTCCTCAACTTTCCAAGCAGCTGGAACTACAGGTGTGCACTACCACGCCCGGCTTATTTTTTGATTTATTGTAGAGATGAGGTCTCACCAAGTTGCCCAGGCTGGTCTCGAACCCCTGAGCTCAGACAACCTTCTCGCCTCGGCCTCCCAAAGTGCTGGGATTACAGGCTTGAACCACCGCGCCTGGCCTCGTGCCTACTTTTATAAGTCCTTTTCTACTAATTCTCACGACAGCTTGATGAAGTATTCGTGCTTCAGTTTTCCAGAAGAGAAAACCAAGGGACAAAAAGGTCATGTTTATGGTCATGCAGCTTTCATTCTTCCAGCTAACGTGTCTAAGTCACACAGGATGTGTGACCTAGCAGGGGTGATCTACACGCGAGTGAAGTGGCCTCTCTGGGGATCAGTCCTGAGTGAAGCCTCAAGTCAAAGTCTCCTTTCAGGGGCGGCCTCATGTCCGGAGCTTTCAATCACCAATTATTCATCATGTCTCCATTCTGTGCCAGGAAGTTTTCTAGGGCCAGATCGTGTTGGTGCAGGCTCTATGTCCCAGGAAGTCCTGAGGTTTAATGGGTCCTGGGGCTTTGGGGTAGTACCTCACTTTCTTAAATCCAGGATCAGCTGGGCTCGGTGGCTCAGCCTGTAATCCCATGCCTTGGGAGGCTGAGGTGAGCGGATTGCCTGAGCCCGTGGGTTCGAGACCC